TAGATTTTCTCAGAAGCCTTCTAGAAGACTTGATTTCCCTAGCCAAAATTGTGTCTCATACGCCTCAATTGCATCTCAGGGGACTACAGGTCCTGGTTAGTTAAGACAAGTCAAAATTCATGGCCCTTGCCAGAGGTTACACAATCAGGATTCTGTTACTCTTTAATTCCTCCCAAGGCCAATTTATTTTTGCCTGGGCTCTTAATCCCTTTCAATCTCTTGGAGGATCCTACTCTGTTAATCATTCTTCTTGCCTGTATTTTCAGTTTCTCTCTTCTCACTCTTTCTTAATTCAAATTTATTGGAAGAAGAATCTACAGATACCATCTCCATTTTTCCCCTCCTGTTTTTTCCCTTAAATTCCCTGCAATTTGGATTCTGCTCTTCCCAATAAAAAGCCTCCTTTTTTTGTCATTTTCAGTGACTGTCTGATTGCCTAATCCTTTTTCATTTTCTTTACTTTTTCATTGATTTTCTTTCACTTTTGTCTTTTTGTTCTGTATTTCACTTGTTTGTACTGTACTCTATCATTTTCTTCCTTCTGATTGCTTAGGGTGAATTTGTTCTTTTGCTACGTTTTCCTCTTCTTTAGATAGAAGATTAGGTTATTAATTTAAACCATTCTTTTTTTTAATAGCTGTTATTTACCCTCTATGCACTGTTTTATTTAGCTATATCCTATAAATTTTGGTATGTTGTTTTGGTTTTCATTTTTTTTGCAACATATTTTTCCTACTTCCTTTATAAATTTCTTATTTAAAAAATTGGTTATTTAGGAGTGTGTATGTTCTAGAAGTCTCAGTCTATAGATTGCCAATTCCATTCCTCAGGGCCTGAGGCAAGGCAGGACATCATGGTGGAAAAGTGTGTTGGAGGAAAGTGACTCAGAAAATTGCACTGAGAGGCAGAGAGAGAGAGTTCTGCTTAGAAAGGACAAAATATAAACTCCAAAGGCATGCCTCTGGTGACCCACCTCCTCCAGCCACACCCTATCTGCTTAAAATTACCACCAAGTTAATCCCTAGCAGGGGATTAATACACTAATTAGATTAAACCTATCATAACACAATCATTTTACCTCTAAACTTTCTTACATTGTCTCACACATGAGCTTTTGGGGACATCTAACCATAACAGTACATATATTTAAGATAAGGTAAAAATACTTCACAGGTTCTTATTGATACTGCAATTTTGAGTTGAGACTATACTGTGCTCAGATCTTCCATTTGTATCTCTTTTCCTCTGCACTAAAAGGCTTTCAAGGACATAAGTGATTATAGAATTAGAAAATCCAATTATTATTCATCCATTTTTATTCCATATTATACAGGTGACATAATATAGGATAGTAATAATATTGAGTGACAACACTAACACTATTGAGAATATTAAAATACATATTTTTGTATATACTCTAACCATCTTACTAGTATTTGGGGCTCTAGATATTTTCTGACCCTTTATTTAGCAATATTCTAGAGGACCTTCACTGACTCCCTGCTGGAAGGAGGGTACAAAGAGGAGTAAAACACATCCCTGTTCTCCAGAAGCTAAGTACGGGTCAGCGTGGTTGGTTTGTGTGGTATCATTCTGGTATAGAAAGGTGTGGCCATAGAATCTGGGATTCTTTTTTGCTTTAAAGTAATGTTAATGATTTGACTGCATGCTTCCTAAAGTGAAACCCTTTCTCTCAGGGTCTACTCCTATCAGGAATAGCTTCCTTTTGGTAGAGATCTTCCATATGTGTAGTCTCCCTTTATACTATATTAGTCAAGCAGGGTTCTTCAAAGAACCTGAACTAGTAAGGTAGATGGATGGAATGATGGATGGATGGATGGATGTGAGAGCAAGGGGGGAGAGAGGGAGAGTGTACGTATTTTAAGGAACTGGTTCACATGATTATGGGAGCTGACAAGTCTGAAATTTGTAGGACAGGCCAGCAGACTAGAAACTCAGGCAAGATTCGCATGTTAACAGTCTTGAGGCCAAGTTTCCTTAGGAAACATCAGTCTTTTCTGATAAGTCCTCCTTTTGATTTAATAAGACCCACCATTTATAGAGGGCAATCTGCTTTATTTAAAATCAGTTGAGTATAAATGTTAATCACATCCACAGACTTCTCATGCAACGCCTAAATTAGTGTTAGACTACACAGCTGGACACCATAACGTTAGCCAAGTTGACACATAAAATTAACCATCACACCTGGGTTGAACAGTAAATTTGTTGTCCAAATTGAGATTTGTTTTTTGAGAATAGGGAGTTATAAATAAATCTATATAATTATGTACATAGAATATTTTATAGTTACGTGATTTTATTCATTGACATTGTTTTTTTTTTCATTGGTGAACCTATAAAATAGTCCTATTAGGAAAATTATTCTAAAAATATTAACATTTATCTGTGTTCATTAAAGCACAACAAAAACTGTTCTTTTGAGTTTCTCAACATTAAAAAGAACAGTAAATGTAATATATATTATTTTGTATCTTAGTCATAAATTGGGTATTTACATATTTCTGAAAAATGAATTTTAAAAATTAGCTGTATTATTTTTAATTGCCTCAGAAAATTGTGGTTTTTATCAAAGTTGCATTTTATGGTTGCTAGTTTTTTTGGGGGAGGAGGGGGATACCCAGTATTGAACTTAGGGGCACTTGACCACTGAGCTACATTCTCAGCCCGATTTTGTATTTGATTTAGAGATGGGGGTCTCAGTGAGTTGCTTGGTGCCTCACTTTTGCAGAGGCTGGCTTTGAACTCATGATCCTCCTATCTCAGCCTCCCCAGCTGCTGGGGTTATAGGTGTGTGCTACCGCACTTGGCAAATTACGAAATTTAAAAACAATGAAAAATTCTGTTGATTTCTTTTAAACTGCTGCTATTCTCTGTGAATTATGATTTAAAAATTTTAGAATAGGATCTCAAATTATAAATACTAAGGTACCTGTCAATTTCAAAGCAAATTCTACTAAATTGAGATTATTCTAAAATTTTGAAGTTTTGAAATAGTTTAACATGTAAATATTCCAGCCCATATTATTTAACAGATATTGCTCTATTTAGAAGACAAAATTTTTAGAAGACAAAGCTTGTTACATAAATTGTATCTATTTTATAGGTCTTGAAAAAATTTATCAAATTTACATGCTGTTAATTTTTAGGGATTCATTCTTAGGTTTATTTCATTTTGCCATGCATTATAAATAAGTTCTCTTTAAATATTACATATTGAATTAAAAGATTTTTTTCTTATTTTGGCTGCTGTTATAAAATACCATAAATTGAGTGACTTAAATAACAAGCATTTATTTCTCATAGTTCTTGAGGCTGCGAAGTCTAAGACCAAGGTGCTGGCAGATTCATTGTTTGACAAGGGCCTGCTTCCTGGTTGCAGAACTGGTTTGATCTTACATCCTTATATGACCCTTCCTTTGTGTGTGCACTGAGCAAGAGGGAGGAAGGGAGAGACAGAGAAAGATCTTGTCTCATTATTTTATAAAGGCCTTAATATTATCATGAGGGTCCCAATTACATAACCTAATCTAACTTTAATCACCTCTCAGATGCCATACCTGGAAATACTATCACATTAGGTATTAGGACTTAAACGTAAGTGTTTTGCAGCAGGGACACATATTTTTAATCCATAGCTATTTCCAACTGAGTTTGAACAAAATGAAACCAGATTTAGAAAGTGATTGAAAATCATCAGTACTATTGATTTTGCCAAGTGGATCAGCCTAACTTTGTATCTCTTAGGAACAGTAGTTTGGTATTCACTAATTAAATGTTCATGGTAACATTATAAAACTTAACTATTCTGAATAATGAGAACCAACTGTAATTTTGTCTTTATTGTTGAACTTTTAAACTGAATTGAAATAGCAATTACAGCAATATCAGGTGTTTCATGTTCTACAGGATGAACATCCAAAAGCTTTACTTTGATTTCACAAATTACATGGGGCAATCAAGCCATTATTGGAATTAATTGATTTTTCATTTGACACTGATAGAAAGCTGAAATCATTAAATTGAACTTCTTCTATTAATGAAGCCAAGAAAGTTAACATGTATCACTTTACCTTGACTGTGTAAAACAATTTTGAATTAGAACGGAGATTTCTTAAAAAGTCATTTGATCTAGATGAAAAGTCATGCTTTATAGAGTAAAATATAAAACACTTTCTCTGCCTGCTTTTATTTCATTGTGTTTGGGCAAGTCATAAGCTGAGGCAGCAGCATTGGGTATTTTGGGTACTCTCTTTGAGAGTCAGGTGTCAGTTATGATACTTATAAGAGGTAAGTTACTGCTAAGTGTCTTTCAGATTTAGCTACATGTTAAATTGATAAATGGCTTCACTGCCTATGCATCTCATACATGAGTCTGAGCTCATGCCAGAGCCTAAGTGAAAATTACAAATGTGTCCCAGTTTATTTCAGTGGTATCATGAAAAAATTTGTTGGAAAATGAAAAATCTAGGACATATGATAATTTGGTTGGGGCGCTGAGATGGTGGCATAAATTAGGATTGTCTCGGTGAAACTGACACACATGGACACTTTACCTTTCAAAAATCTCCTAACACCAAATTCTTGATTACTGTTTTCCCATCAAAAAGGATATGCCCTCAATATGATTCACTTGTTTATGTCTGTTTAGTAATTTCCACAGCATTATGCACTTAGAAAAGAATGTGAAGCACTCTTAGTCAGTTTTATTCATTGTGTCATTTCTTTTATTTCTGGAACATTTTCTAATCATCTTAAAACTTTTATTAAATTTTATGTGCTTTCACTTTTAAAGTAAAGATAATAATAATAAAACATGCACTTATTTTCCTTGAAATTAGTTTTTTGTTATCTTAATACAAATACACAGTAATTAAAAATGAAAGTTGAAAATTAAAAGAAAGTAATTTTTATATATATTTGATAAAACTGGATTATCTGAATATATGATTATAATACTACTTTATATTCTATTACAGAATTAATTGAAAAGATTTACTCTATGACTATAAGAGTCTTGGGAGATAGGTAAGTGACAAGGCTCTTTTGAAGAGCTATTTCTGAAACATTAAGTCATTTGATCTCATAGGTTCGTGGCAAAGGAGATGGGCCATCTCTAAGTGATTTACTTCTTTTTCTCTTAATACATTAGTAGAAGTATCATGTTTACATGATTCTTCATGTAAATTTTCTCTAATACCTAATGATCAATCATATTTTCCAGGGAATTTCAGTTTATTTTTTATAATAACCATAATAAGAATAGCATTAATAAGACATTGAAGTGTACCAAAAGTTACTGCAGTTAAAAAAAAAACAAAACATTAAGTGCAAAGTACCTTGAGATGCATCTAGAAACTGAAAAAAAGTGTTAGTGGGAAAATAGATAAAATCTAGTTTAGTTCAAAATAACAAATCAGTTTTAATTTCTTAGTTTTAACAAATGTTGCCAAGTTGTTAACTTTAGGGGAAAGTGGGTGAAGGGTGTACAGAAACTCTGTAGTGTGTTTGTGAATCTATTTTGTAAGTCTAAACTTATTCCAAAATAAGCTTAAGGCAAAAAAGCCAAAGTTTGTTGATTTGAGAATTATAATTTGGAAATAGATTTTCTGTGTAATGGTTTGAAAAAAAATCAAAATTATTCATTACCTTTAAAAATACAGACTCGGTGAAATAGAGATGGGGGGAAAATGTAATCATAGGAATTGTGGAATTTCATTTTTTGAACATTGGCATGCTGTTCATGAACTTGTCCTAGTACTTAGTTATAGGCATTCTCTTTGATTCCTTTAAGACATTTGTATATTCTTTGATCATTTTCTGTAGCATTTTCTTTTAATACAAGCAGGCCCTTTAAATGGTTCTCAGTATGCTGCCCACCCCTCTCTTTGTTAGTGTACTGGAGACAAAATGTCAATGATGTGACTCAGTGGTTTGGAATTAAGACCTTGTTAAGTATAGTTTTGTTCAGTTGTACCTACTTGAGCTTCTAGGTCAAGTTCTAGACATAGTTGACCTATTGTTAATGAGTATGAATAAAGATGAGCATAACTTAAATAGCCTTTCTGTAATTGAGCTAAAATAATTTAGAATCGATTGCTGCCAGATAATAGAAATTCTGTTTCCAAAATGGACTTTATCATGAAAACTCTTAAATTTCTATAAATATTAAAAGATCATAGAATGAAACTCTGTAGTTCACTGAAACTGTTATGTAACTTCTCATTAATAAAATAACCATGCTAGTCTTATGAATGGTTTCCTGCTTCTGTTGCCAACTTCAGTAATTTTAGTTAAAATTCATAAAGGGAAATAGAAATATATTACAATTAAGGATATAGACATTTAAAACAATAGACCCAGGCCTGAATGATTCTTACAGGCTTGGAGATTTCTGTTTTGTTTAATAATCTTTATTCAGAATTGGTATTATTAATCTTATGTTAATAGAATTTACAACTCTACTTTTTTATTGTATAGCATTATTGTTCCAACTTTCATAGGGAAGGAAAAAAGGATAATTTTTTTTCAGACCAAGTTTGAAATCTGTTGATCATATAATATGTCACTCAAAACAAAATGAAATCAAATGAAACTTTTATTATTCTGTACTATAAGAGCATTAAAAGTGCTGTTTTTAAGGACATGCTTAACATTTAGCTGGTTGTTATTTTGTGGTCATAAAAGTGAGAATAAAAGAGAATAGCTATTATATATTGTGCAATTACAAACAAGGCTTTTTACTTTTATTTAATCTTCAGTAAACCTGAGAGGTAGATTGGAATTCCCTTTATAAATGAGGCTGGGAGAGTAACAGGTATCTGTATGCTATCCCTGAGACTATGGGGCAAAAAGAACAAGATCCCTTTGTTTGTAGTCCCCGTAACTTGGTTCACGTTTTTAGCAGCTTCCAGGAAATGCTGACACATTTTCATGAACATATAGTAAACTTCAGATTACTTCTACTTTTTCTGGGAAAGAGTACTAGATAACACTGGGTGACCTAGAACAGATTCTCTGGAGAGACCAGCCTGCATAATAAGTTCTCCTGTTTCTTGTTCTACCCTTGATATGGCAGAACCCTAACATGCCAGCTGTTTTCTATTACCTAATTAACCTGTTAACCTGATAAATTACAGAACACTCACTTTTTGTGGGCTTCTTTGATCATATGCCAGGAATTTTTGGCAGCTCTGGGGAACATGCTCACAACATGCATTTGGTCAGTTAGGTAATGAAGTTCTTAGTTGGCATGGGAACTTGGATTCAGAAACTAGGACAGTTGCCAGAGATGGAGTCCTTGTGCATATGACAGGTGAAATTCAGCTTTTCAGACTCAGTCAGTTGGTCAGGAGTTAGAAATTGAGTTGGTTTGTTAAACAGTTTTGTCAGTCCCCTTTCCAGATCACCTCAGTGGCTACTCACCAGACTCAAGATAAAACCCCAAGTCTAATGTTTCTCCAAATTCTGTTTCGCTTACTCTGCTTTACCCATACTTGCCTCCTTGCAACTCCTTCGATACTCCAAATCTATTTATAATCGACTCATTTCACCTCCTTCTCTATGCTAAACCCTCTCTCTAGTTAGCTTAGCCTGTAACTTGGTACCAATGGTGATAAACTTTTTTTTTTTGGATACTGGGGATTGAACCCAGGGCCCTTAACCACTGAGCCACATCCCCATCCCTTTTACATATTTTCTTTAGAAATAGGGTTTTTACTTAGTGCTTAGGGCCTTGCTAAGTTGTTGAGGCTGGCTTTGAACTCACAATCCTCCTGCCTCAGCCTCCCGAGCTGCTGGGATTATAGGCATGTGCCACTACGCCTGGCTAATGGAGATAAGAGAGAAGAGCTCACATTTAGAATTGTCTAGCAATGTAGTAGTAGACGTCTCACTAGAAATTTTATAGTTTCTGTCATTTGAATTGCTTTCAAGTATAACAGGGAGTAGAGTTTTAAAGTTATAGAAAGAGGGGCTGGAGTTGTGGCTCAGTGGTAGAGCACTTGCCTAACATGTGTTAGGCACTTGGTTTGGTGCTCAACATCGCATATAAATAAGTTAATTAAATAAAGGTCCATCAACAGCTAAACAAAAATTTTAAAAAATTAAGGTTATAGAAAGACATAGCTGGAAACAAAGGGAAAGAGTTACAGGGATTTAGACTCAGTATAAGTAGCACTATAATGAGTAACTTGGCAACAGTTACATCTGCATGAAAACAGCTTGAGCTACTTTATCAAAAGGTGAATTCTCCATCACTTACAGCATATAATGGAGGCTGATCTCCCTCTTGCAGAGATGTTGTTGAGGAAATATGTGTTGAGTAGAGTGGGGAGAGTTCATTTCTAAGATTTTCCCAAGTCAGAGATTATATTAATTTTTAGAATCCTCTTTTTTTTCCAGAAGCAGTTCTTCTCACAGTCCTCAGATTCTTTCTCTCATATTTGTATTGGGAAACTTTCTCCACACAAGTAAACATCACTTTTAGGTTATAGTTGTCAGTAGTTGAAAGGAAGAATAGTTGCTTTCAATGTTGATTTCTGGTCTGATTGGCCAAATGCTCTTCCAAAAATTTTTCTTTGAGACTTTTTCACTATTTTGATTGACCTTTTGTCTAGGTAAATAAGCATACATAAATTCTTATTAGATTTTAGTTGCTAAACAAAATTTGCCAAGTCTAAGAATAAAAGAACATGCTATTTGGAAATAGCGTTTGGTTATAGTTTGCTAAAAGTGGAAAATGCACCTCATCTCTACCCTTATTCTAGAAACTCCTTGAGAAGTAGCGACTGTGTTTTGAGGATTTTATTTGAGGGTTAGGCAGTCTCTTCCCTTTTCTTCAAAGAGGGAAAAATATGACTTAAGTAATGGAGAACATTAAGTTGCAAGCATTTTTAGTTAGACCTGAGTAAGGTAATGGCCTGATATGCAAATTCAGATTTCTTATAACTGCTGAATTGAAGTACTTGGAATTAATAATACAGGAAAGAATGATTTTCAGGGCCTTAAAGTATTTAATATTTGATCAATTCTGGAAGCTAGCACCTCGGTGATAGAATAATGTTTAAAAACTATCTCTGGCCTGGCACAACTTCCTTTAGCATCTGGGCCTCTCCACACCTGGCCCCAAGGTGTGTTTTGGCATACCAATAGAGTTCTGATGAATGAAAATAGAGTTCTGATGAATATACTGTTTCTGACTCTCCAAGAAAGGCCTGAATTCCTTAATTTATTTGAATCTCTTCCGGATTCTATATCTTCTCTGGGTTTCCTGCCCCTTTTCCATTATAGCGCTCTCTCTCTGTCCTTTAGATTCAACTCTGCTTTTTTCCTAATAATTATCTTGACTTCACCCAAACAGAATTGTTATTCTGACTCAACACATGTAGTTTGGATTATCTCCTCTATTGATATTCTTGTCTTGACTTGAGCCAGGATCCTAGTAGGAGGAGAGAGAGATTATAAAGATAGTATGAGCATTGCACTTTCATGGTTCTTGATCTCTTGCTCCAATGCAAATTGAGTTTAATTTTTTCACTTGACCATAGCAAAAGGCTAAAATATGCACCCATCTCTTAAAACCAGTAATGAAGCAATAAATGAAGAACAAGAAGAAATTCTTGAAATGTTTTAATGTCTTAAAAATCTCTCTGTCATTCAGGTACTTGGTACACATATAAGCAGGGATGAAATGAAAGAGGTTTTAACCTACATACAATTATGTTCATAAGTTCAGATTTTTTTTTTTTGTACCAGGGATTAAACTCAGGGGCACTTGACCAGCCCTGTTTTGTATTTTATTAGAGACAGGGTTTCACTGAGTTGCTTAGCACCTCGCTTTTACTGAAGCTGGCTTTGAACTCGTGATCCTCCTGCCTCAGCCTCCCGATCCACTGAAATGGTAGGAATAAACTGGTAGGAAGTCAAATCCATTAATATATAGAAAGTGGGTTTATTACAGGAATGCAGGGTTGTTTTAACATTGAAAATCACCAACATAATTTATTATTTTAACAGAAAAAAGGAAA